ATTTCGAAATAATGATCAGCTCGAAATATTCAGTCATTGAGGCTATCCCTAGAAAAATCAGCACCTCCAATCGTCAGCCAGCCAAACATTCTCCTCCCACTACCGGTGGGTCTGTCGCCTCCCATCCCCCACTGGATACTTCTATAACTTCCACTATTCGCCCATGGCGCTCCTTCTGTCCTAATTGCCATCTGTTCCTTTTAAGAGATTACTCTAGCAAGTGCACAGAGTCCTCCATCATACTATCCAATACCCCTGCCCTCCATCGCCTTTCCTATTGTTGTTCAATGGTTCGTTAGAGATGAGATCATCAATTGGCTCCCTTCCACCGCATCCAATGCTCAGACAACTTCTCACGGTAACTGCTCGATAGAATACTCGATCCCAAGGAATCTTTGTAATTGTTTCTTCATTCCACCTATCTCATGTTCCATCAAATCAATTCTCATGTCCAACTTCTCCTGCACCATCATGGATCATTGACTCTGATACTAGAATGCTAATACTTAAGGAAATAAAGGCAAATAGAGTACCAAAACTGGTGGTATTCTTGTGGAATTTTGCCAACGGTGATTAAAAAGAAGAAACAATAGCAGTTTCAAGAGTGCGACCTCCCTTGTATTACATGTTTGTTAAATACCTACCTCCTTCAATTATGTTTCTTCTCATATATTCCCCTCTCTCTTTTCCCTGGTCACAAGGTCTAACTAACTCCTATTTCAAATTAAAAAATTGCACCCAAGCAAGGGTATTTCTGATAACTTGCCCTGCCAGCTCACCGATCAGTTCCCTCTTCCCTTTTGTTCCCCTTCTCCCATAAACAAACTTAACTGAGTGCCTATCACATCGCCACTTTGTTCAGGCATTGAGCTAATGCGTCTCCCTCAATCCATTCATCAACCAGAACCCCGGATAATTTGATAACTTATCCTGCCAACTCATTTTCTACACCTATATTTCCGCAAATGACTCTGCTTTTTATTAGTTTTATTTTTTTTGAGATACTGTTTTTTAATAGGTTTTATAATTGCACTCCTCTCAGATCTGGTATTTGTTGTGATAATATGGATGCATTAGGATTTAAGTAGTATTAGGATTTTATTTATTATTTTAATTCTTTTAAGTTCCTTACTAGAGTTATTAACCATAATTAGATGAGGATTGAAATCCTATAAATACTCCATAGTCTCTTTAAAAAGAGTACAACAATTGAGATAACTCACAAGAGCTATGCTTCATAACCATGTATGAATGGTGGTTGTATGATGCAATCAACCTCAATGTAGGTGTAATGTGTAAAGAACCTTAGTGATATACCTAGTTACAATTTTACCAAAAGCCCATCAAATCCTATATCGCAAATTTTAGGTGAGATGTCTACTTATCTAGTTTAAACCAAGTAGTAAGTAAATTTAACCTAATTTGTCCAATGACATCTGTGCAGTACTTACTTTGCTTCTAACGTAAGTGTGCATATTCTCATAATGTTTATGCATATCTCTGGTTCATATGTCACTGATGCAATCAACTATAACCTTATGATACAATATAGTTGAAAATATTCTCATGCCATGCTTCATAGAAGAGTACTGAGAGATCCTTAAAATCTTAAACTGAGAATCTTACACACTAGCAGAGGCT